GTAAGTGAATATACGATGTTTTGAAAGGGGTTTTTGGATAAAATTCCCGTGGTGAGGTTGGAGCGCCATTGGTACAACTGATAGGGCCTAGTGGCCCTGGATATTTTTTGGGCCAGACCCCCCGAATCCTATCCAGGGACGCCCAACGGGGATCTCTCAAAAACGCATTTCGTGCGAGACTTCCTTCCAAACTCCATCGGCAACTCCTCCACCAGCACCACTTGCAATGCCATTTACAGTAAGGGAACGATCCTAGAGTTGCAAATCACAGTGCAATTCCATCAGCAACTCATCCACCAGCACCACTTGCAACCCCATTTACAATGCGGAACCGATCCGAGACCGATCCGACCATGATCCGAGCATGATCCGACCACACACGAGACCGTCTCGCACCCGTCGCACCGCAGAGGTAGATCATCGAGGTTCGGGGACGGACTTTGTATGGAAAAACATAGGGTTTCGTGCATCTGCTATCTGTCAAAAACGCATTTCGTGCGAGACTTCCTTCAAAACTCCATCGGCAACTCATCCGGCAGCACCACTTGCAACCCCATTTACAATGCGGGAACGATCCTACAGTTGCAAATCACAATGGAATTCTGTCGACCACACATGCACGAAAAACAGTTGAAACCCCATGTACAATGCGGAACCGATCCGAGACCGATCCGAGACCAATCCGAGGATGATCCGAGGATGATCCGACCACACACGAGACCGTCTCGCACCCGTCGCACCGCAGAGGTAGATCATCGAGGTTCGGGGACAGACTTTGTATGGAAAAACATAGGGTTTCCTGCATCTGCTATCTCTCAAAAATGCATTTCGTGCGAGACTTCCTTCAAAACTCCATCGGCAACTCATCCGGCAGCACCACTTGCAATCCCATTTGCATTGCGGGAACAATCAATGCCCTAACTAACTCTTGCTTTAACTAACCCTTTCCCTGACGAACCTTCGACGAACTAACTGTTTCTTTGACTAACTGTTTCTTTGACTAACTCTTTCTTTGACGAACTCTTTCTTTGACGAACTCTTTCTTTGACTAACTCTTTCTTTGACTAACTCTTTCTTTGACTAACTGTTTCTTTGACTAACTCTTTCTTTGACTAACTCTTTCCCTGACTAACTGTTTCTTTGACTAACTCTTTCTTTGACTAACGGTTTCTTTGCTAACTCTTTCCCTCACTAACTCTTTTCTTTGACTAACTCTTTCCCTGACTAACTCTTTCTTTGACTAACTCTTTCCCTCACTGACTCTTTCTTTCACTAACTCTTTCCCTCACTAACTCTTTCTTTGACTAACTCTTTCTTTGACTACCTCATATATCCTGACTAACTCTTTCTTTGACTAACTTGTTTCTTTGCTAACTCTTTCTTTGACTACCTCATATATCCTGACTAACTCTTTCTTTGACTAACTCTTTCCCTCACTAACTCTTTCTTTGACTGACTCTTTCCCTCACTAACTCTTTCTTTGACTAACTCTTTCCCTCACTAACTCTTTCTTTGACTAACTCTTTCCCTGGCTAACTGTTTCTTTGACTAACTCTTTCTTTGACTAACTCTTTCTTTGACTAACTTTCCCTGACTAACTGTTTCTTTGACTAACTCTTTCTTTGACTAACTCTTTCTTTGACTAACTCTTTCCCTGACTAACTCTTTCCCTGACTAACTCTTTCTTTGACTAACTCTTTCTTTGACTAACTCTTTCCCTGACTAACTGTTTCTTTGACTAACTCTTTCTTTGACTAACTCTTTCTTTGACTAACTCTTTCCCTGACATTCTAAAAGTCCGTAACACGGAAGTTTCTCCCACTAAACTTCCTTTGATAATCTCTTCTTCACAAGAGCATATATCATTCATCGAAACGACGAAACTCTGTACACGGAGATGGTATTAGTTCTTCTTCGCAAGAGCATATACCATTTGTGATCAAAACACAGAAAACGTATAAACTCTATCTGCAAGAGTATATACACCGCGTGAAATCAAAATGTCCTAAGTACAAGTTGAACACTGTACAGAGAAAAATTCATCTGGTGTTATCTTCACTTAGCAGAAGTATGCACTCATCGCTTCTTTGGTCTCCAGTATTGGGATGAGGATGTAGATCTACCAGTTCCTTGTTGTTGACAATATCGAGCTTGGTAGTCCCACCATTCTTCGCGTGTAAAATTGATCCATGGTCCCTCATCATCATCATCATCATCTTCTTCTTCTTCGGCAAAGCCTCTGCCTTTGTTTGCTCTTTGTAAATCCGTTCTCCTTTGTTTTCTTTCTGTTTTCTTCTCTGTGGGAACAAAGGATCGCTTTTCCCTGTTTGTGAAGTCTGATGGTGCGAGATGTATCAACAGAGGGTTGTGAGCATCCCTGTCATTTGGTGCGACAGTGATTGCATCGTGATCACAAGGTAAAGTGGTCTCATTGACTACGCGGGTAAACTCACCAACATAGTTCACATGATCCTCATCTTCAAAATCAGCGACATTTTCGGCAAACTCCATCTTCGAACGTCCCCATTCCATAACAGTCAACATACAGCAATCACCATAATTGTCAGTTTTTGTTGCAACTTCAGATGTGCGCGTCTCAGTCTTGATGCCTTTGAGGTGGTGTTTGAGTTGTACCAAATCCATGTTTTTTCGAAAGAACAAGAAATGAAGTGCTTTGCTCTGACAGGTGGTGCTGGACCTTGATGGTGTCGGAGTCTTGCCTGCGTAGCAGAGCTGATCATCCTGTCGATCCAGAACTGTAATAAACTTACCTCATATGATGGACATCCTGGAGATTTCGGTGTTGGATAATATGCTGCTTTGTTTCCATCCCCTGCCATAATGTCAACTTGATACTGAACACATTCCAAACACACAGTTGCAATGATCTCTCCACAAATTCTAGCAGCTCCAGAGATATGATCTTGTCCGGCATGATAGACACAGACCCTGTGCATGGACATTCTTGCTCTTGTGAGGTCTTCGTATTCTTCGGTCTGTCTGTTGACTGCGGTGCCCCACACAATCTCGAAGATTGCCCAAGAAACAAGTATGGCACTAGTGTCATTTGGATCATCTGACTGATATCCAGCAATTTGTCGACCTGATCCACCATGCTCTGTACGAGCTGCTACCATCAAATCAGCGTAGTCATTGAAACAAACTTTGTAGCCACCTTCTTCTGATCGTGCTCAATGTTCATATATTGGTGAAGCTTCGCAAGTCATGAATAAGTGAACCTTGAGTTCACCAATCAGATTTTGTGAGGCAGTCAAATCATACCTTACATGAGGAGCAAACTTCTGCAGATGTTCAGGAAGTGGTTCTTTTGCAAATCTTGCCCGTTGCCAGTTACCAAGACTCCAGAACATGCATGAGAATGCTTTTGAATCTTAGATAGGGATATTCATCATCAGCATAATCAACTTCCAGTAAACCAGCTCCAAGGTATCTCATGGCTAAGATCTGAAGAAAGATACAATATGGAATGCATCCATGTTGTTCGATGTAGTCAGTGATCAAATGCTCCATTTCTTCAAAGTCCTGCTGGTGTCTCTTCGTGGAGTCCTCAACACGTTTGTTCACCTGCTCACGAGATCTTGGGTGAAGTCGAGGATCTGAGCAACCATATTCAGTTGACCTTTTGAAGTCAACCAGGATTGAAAATATTGACTCATTTTTGTGGCGTCGAATGTGCTCAGTCGTAATGTCCTCTTGGCAATCTCTATGCCAGCTTTCCTTGTGATCATCATCAGCTACTCGATGTTTGAGATGCCAAAACATGCGACGATGTTGTTGAAAAGCTGGATAACCCTGATTGTAAAAGCCTGCCCACACACCACGATAGCCATCTGCGAAACAGTCACCTAATCTTCTGAGAACAGAATCAACTTCATTTCCTGTAATGTCTTGACCGTTGTACTCTATCGTTAATTGCATCGCGCTGATCATGCCAATCATCAGAATTCCAACCTTCCGGCACTTGGTCATATTCATCAAGGCCATCAAGTCCAAAAGCTTCATGACCATTACCGTTGCCGGCATCATGGTTTGAGGGGCTGCCGGCTTCCTCAAACTCAGACAGCTTGTCCAGGTTGAAGTCAAGCAGAGAGCAGATGACCGCGTGAGGTCTTGATGAGTGGGAGGTCTTTGGCGTCAATCGCAGGGAAGGAAACTGTGCTGCTTCCCAAGCCAATCACCGTGCCCAATTCCTGCATGAAGGGACGTGAAAGAAGCAAAGGTGCATTGCCAGGCGTTTCTGCAGAGTGAAGTTCGCCATGAATCTTTGCAATGCCCACAGGAAACACCTTGACCGTGTCGCTGGCCAATTGGCCACCGATGCCCTTGAAAGCTTGGTTCTTGGGACGGCTCTTCGGAGTAAGCCCAATCCGATTGAGCTCCCTTTCACAAGCTTGAAGCCACATCGCACCATGCATTGTCCTCGTACAGCCAGAGTCCAAAATGGCAAGCCCAGGAGGATCTTCTGGTGCAGAAAGGAGAGTTTCCTCAGCAACTTGAGAATCTCCAGAAACCATCATGACCTCGCAGTCAGGAAGGAAAAGTCCATCAGGTTGGCCATGTGGATCTAGGCTTAGTGGAACACGAATGCATCGGCTTGTCACCATTTCATCGGGATTCAAAACCCGCTTGCCAGGCTGATTGTCTTGGCCTGACTTTGTCACGCGCATGCCAGCTGCATGTGCCAATGTCACTCGGCCGTACAGGTAGAAGGCAAGCCTGCAGTGCTCAGGGGTGAGTGCTCCTTATTCTCAAGAGCTGCAACAAGCACATGCTGGCAAAACCTATTCCCTTGAGCAAATGGTGCTCCAGGGTATGGTGATTCAGGTCCAAGCAGCATGCCATCATGTGGCAGAGGTTGAAGCACATCGCAGTCTTCGCTACCAAGATCTGCAAAAGGGGGCAGATCTTCTCCAAGCATCAAACGAACACCATAAAGCCAAAAGCATTGATTTGTCTGCCGCTTGATCTTGGCTCTCGGATCAGACGGAGTGGATGTTGTAGAGGTCATCCATGAATGACACTCCATGAGGGCGAAGCTGGTGATGTAGGAGAGCCAGAAGCCGCATCACCAAGTTGTTGTTGACGTTCTCGGGCATCCAATGCTTCACCTCGTACTTGGCAAACACGTTGGAAAAGTCCGCGTGATCGGGCTGCTTGTCCCCATTTGGTGCAAAGTGCAACCATCACCAAGTAGCGTCAAAGACTTGCAGGGTCTTTGCGCTTTCCGCTGATCACGACCTTGTCACATCAGCTCTCTTTGCAGGCAATATACCTGCTCAGGCCGTTGGCTCCTCGAAAGAACTTGGATTCAGAGCCACCATTGTAAACAGAGTGTTCGCACAGGGAATCATCTTTCAGCACCATCAACGCCTCATGCATTGATGTAGAAAAGGTTGAAGTGGAACGTGTCGACAAAGTAGAAGCGTTGTTGCTGTTGGGCTCAGTGTCGACGCTGCTGTGAAACTTGATCTCATTGTCCTGCGACTTCACCACACCATCAGCCAAGTACTGCTCATAGGAAGTTGATGGTGCTCGCGCAAGTGAAGCCTTGTCGGTCTGCTCGTTGTCATGCTCTCCATCGGACTCAATCTTGTCGTGCAGGACAAAGAACGTAGTGGCAGGTTTCTTCTTCTTCTGGGGTGAGAGAGATTGCGCCTTCTTGAAGTTCTTGGATCCCTTTCCCTTGCTTTTGCCCTTCTTGCCCTTGCTTAGGCACTCATCATCTCCTTGCCAATGGCCTTTGCGACCGGGGCTGGTGCAAGGTGTCACCGTCTTCAAGAACTTGACAGCATGAGCGATGGTTCTCACGAGTTTTTGCCTCAAAAGACATCTCGCCGTGAGCCTTGAAGGGAAAGCTCTGCTGCGAAGTTGAGCTCGCAGCTGTTGCAGAAGGAGTTCCAAAGACCTTCTTCTTGGACTTGCTCTGGATGAAGGTTGTCAAAGCTTCAGCGGCTTGTGGGTCTTCATCGTCGTAGTCCTGCAGGAGGGCGTCCAACGTCTTATCGTCGGAGTACGCATAGCCATCAGCAGGATCACCATAGTCACCATCACCATCATCCGTGGCCTCATACACAGCCCCATAGATGGACTCATGCTCATAGGTCTCGTCCATCTCGCAATCTTCATCGTGAACTGCAAGTGCATAGCTCCTGCCACGGCCACCAGATTTCCATTTCGACCACAGTGCGTGCGGGATGGCATAGTCACGATTGTTCTGACTCCAGCCCAAAAGGTCCTTCTTGTGCACATACTTCCCCATGGAGTTCGGGAACTGGATGCGCAGCACATGAGCCAACTTCTTGTAGTCATGCTCATTGCCACAAGACGCAAGCACTGCAAGTTGCTCCTTAGCATCCAGACCTGCAAACGTCAGAAGCATCATGGCTCGGACCTGCTCAGGCACAGAGCTCCTTGGCAAGACCTCTTCCAACCTGTGAAAGTCTTGCTCACGCCTGACTATGAACTGCTGCATGGTTTCGGTAGCTTTCCTCCAAACGCTAGGGTCATAGAAAGCTTTCAGCAACAGTTCATTGACACGTACTGGAACCTCTGAGGCTACCGATTCCTTCAGAGTATCCAACAGCAACTTCATACCATCTTCAGCTGGGCCCCCTTTCTCATCCTTTGTCTTCAGTTTCTCATGCCCCCGTTAACTTTCTAACTGCATCGTATGCTGCGCCGGAAAGTCCGGCCCTCAATTGAACCGCTGAAGCTACCTGGAGACCTGTTTGGCATTCTCTACCACCCCACGAGTCCCATGCCCGCTCACAATATTCTTCGAACAAGTCACTGTCGCCGCTATACTGCGGCACCTTAAACCAAAGGACGCCCTGTGTCGTGCACCTGACAGGATGTCCACCACAGCTATGCATCAGCAACACTGCCATGCTGATACATGGGAAATTGCCGGAAAATAACATGTTTGGGCCGTCTGGGTGCATTTCTGTTTGCTGTGCGTGAGTGATTAGCACACTGCAAAGTGGCTTGCATGGTGTTTCTCTCTGGTTATTGATGGCTGGGTGCTGGATGTTGGAGCTATTCAGGGTGGCCATCATGGAGCGACCACTGAATGAAAACCTGCGAAAAACGGCGTTTTGATGAGCTCTTGGTGTCCATCTTCCATCGAACTGCGCGAACTAGTGACACAGACATTGGCAGCAAAGACACTTTGCGTGTGTCTCGGGCCAATGAAGACTCCCCTCAACCGGGTGCCAACATACCCGCCATGATCCCCATTTGGTTCACCTTCTTTAGACGTATTGTGGGGTGTTTCACTGTATGGTTTACCTTTCTGTTGGTTCTTACGGCTGTTTGCTTGTACGGTACGTCCTAGGTAGGGACATGTGACGGTAGGGCATGCCATGCTTTGCATGAATGATGGATTTATTCCTCAACATGCCACATGATGGCTATGTTCTGATCTGGTGGATCTAGCGTGTTAATCTATTTCATTTTCCAGCGGCAAGAAGAACAAATATCTGCAACCGCAAAAGTTAGTGCAAGGCCATTCAACATTCTACACGCGCACACACACACTGGACTGGTTTTAAGAATTGGAGCTGGTTCCAACTTGGTCGCGTCGAATACCGTCGAATCGTGCCTATAGTTCGTTCTGCAGGGTTTTAACTTAAAAGATTTGGCAATTCCTACCTGGTAGACCTTGTCCAGGCTGTATCCAAGTTGGAAGGCATTGATGTAGTCGAGCAGGAACGCAAGGTCGAAAAGGTCGAAACGGTCGAAACAACAGATTTCAAAACTGTGTGAATGGAAGCGCGGCACAGCATTGAACAGGAACAGAAATCAACAGTTCAAACTGTTTTGGCGCAGGTACACACTGGTGATCAATCCGTGCTTCCTGGGATGCTTGCAAAGAGCTTCTTTGGGCAGAGCTTTGCAAGTCCCCTCTCCCCCCCGGCAAATTTTTGTATGAACACGTGCAGTTAACCATGCCCTGTGCTAGCAGGGTGTACACACACACACACGCACACACACACACGCACACACACACGCACACACATACACACACTGCTTAGGTTGATTTGATGATGATGAGAGTAGAACTTGCCGTCGCCTGATTTCCTAAGTCACCTTCGATGGGGCACGGTTGCAAACGGTGAAATTCGGGCAATCGATTCTTGCCAAAGGACTCAAAAACAAGGTAATAGAACAGCTTGTGCAAAAGTTCGAACCAACATTGCAGGTACGTCAACCCAGCGTCCCAGGTTGATATCACTGTGACATCAGAAGCGTCTTCGTTGGCTGGAGACTTCTGATTCACACTCCAGCCCCCTGCATGTCTGAATTAAAATTCAGTTCTTATTGTCGCCACATATTGTCTTCCTTGCTTCGTTGTACAAAATTGTAAAATATCCGTATGTTATAACGGGTTTCACACACACAAGCCCCGTAGGGCGATGACGAAATTACATGAGTAGTTGAAATGGCAAGCTCACACTGTCGCTCAAGTGACAGAATGGCAGTCCTGAAACTTCACAAAACACTAATGGAGGAGCGAAAACTCTGTGTGAAATGCGGTACTTCATGAGACTAAGCCGCCAACCATTGTTTGTGGTGAATTCAGTTCAGTGAGCGAAAGCATGTGAGGTCCGGGCTGATAACTCTCGTCAGGTTGTTATGTCGAATACTCTTATAAAGAAATTAATTAAAATGACAGACGCACATTGTCACTCAAATAACAGAATCGCTGTCCTGAAATGTTACGAGACACTAACAGAGGAGTGAAAACGCTGTCTGGATTTCGGTATTTCATAAGACTAGGCCGCCGACCATTGATCGTGGTGGATTCAATTCAGTGAACGAAAGCGTCCGAGGTCCGGGCTGATAACTCTGGTCAGGTGATTATGTCGAATATTTTTGTCGAAAAATCTTCTGTGTCAAAAATCTTGAGGCATTTAGAACTCTGAAACCTAAAGCATGATTGGGGGTAACTGAGGTGCCGACACCACTCAGAGCACTATACAATCGACGTCTAACATGGAGAAATTGTGACAGCTGTTGTGGACAAGGGCAAAAGAGATCAATTCATGTTAGTAGAACCAGTGTAGAGTAGAGGTAAATCCGATGGTCTGTAAATGGCGACAGACTTGAACCCAACATTGAAAGGTTTGAACTGATGCAGCCATGAATAAGTTACTACACACAAATCACATTCTCATGCGTATCTCTATTTGGCAAAAAAACAACAGAGTGCGACAAGTTAAGAATGATTGAGTAAGCTGTTCACTCCTTTTTGTTAAGCGAATCTGAAAACATCACGCGCTTGTAAATGTGGATGGACTTGGTGGATAACAGTCATTATGGTCTTGCGTGCGGAATCTGTGGTCACAAGAGCAGAGTCTCGAGATGATATCAGTCCAATGAGATCTTGAATTTGAGGTAGATGAAGATGTTGTGGATACACGCCCGTGAGAATGAGTCGAATACGAGCAATAAGACCACTGAGGGCGGTACGTGAGACACCACAGCCAGAGCTGTGTCTCAAGGGTTTGTTCCATGGTAACTGCAAAGTAATGGTATGTTGTAGGCAATCAATTTTGTATCCCAGGGCTTCATCACCAGGTACTGGTTCCAAAAGGATGGGATTTGTATAGAAATCCAGTCTCCAAAATAGGTCAAAGTCCAGACTGGCGCGATCGATGTCTGTTGCTAGAATCAAGCGGTTGTCGACATACCGATGATGAAAATTCATGTTTGTGCGAAAGACCTGAAAATAGGAATGAAAAATCCATTCTCTGAGTAATGCAACTGCTGAACAGAAAATGGGTGCCCATTGGGAACCCATACTTGCACCACGACGCTGTTGGAATACTGTGCCTCCAATACTGAAATAACTATGATTCAAAAGGTATTGGCTGAGCGGTTGTATATGGGCAAGACAAATTGGTCGGTATTTGTGGCTATGTGACCGCCAAAATCCACGAAAAATTCGTAAAGTGCGTTCCGTAGTCTCTTGATGAATGTTGAGAAAAGAGTCAAATGTTTGTCCTTGAAGTTCACAAAACCGACACACAGCAAATTGAACAGCCTGTAACATACGAGAATGATCAACTTGATTGTAAAACCCAGCAATGTCTTCTTGTTCCACAGTGAGTTCACCATAAGCGTAGTCTTGGTGGAAAACAACTTGGCAATTGCATGTAGCACCGACTTGATATCCGTAACAGATAGGAGATCAGAATATACAACTTGCAAAATTTCATATAACGCTGTTGCTAGTGCACTTCCAATTGGTCGACACCATGCTCGAGAATAATCCACAATTGGTCTTGCTTTTTGAAATAACCTGGATGGTTTTGGGAGAATGTATGCGGTGCTGAGAGTGGATCCAAATTTGAAGCCCCATTGTAGTGTTGCATAATCCAGTCAGGGATATTTTGTTGAATGTGCTTCAATAACGGAATAGGATACGCTTGGCAGCGAAGAAATACCGAAGTATCCAGGAACGTTCGGTTCATCAAATATTGCCACTGAGCAGGACAGTGTAATGTCAAAGAATGCGGAAAATGATCTGAGGGCGAGACTACAAAAGAACGAAAGCGATGTTGAAGTCGCTGAATCTGTTTCTGAGTCTGTCCGAGAGAATTCTGTTTATAGATCTTCCACTGTGTCAGGATGAAAGCTTGCCAATATTGGATCAGTGAATGTGATAGCTTCCATCGATGCAGCCACTGTTCGAATTGATACGTGTTATGGTGAAAGAAGTGTCTCCATGATGGTGAAATCTCTTCAGCCATATGTTGATGGAGAAATGCTTCATCAGGAAAGCATTCTTGTGCAAAAACAGAAATATGTTCGGTTTTTCGTTCACGTTGTCGAATATGCAAAGGAAAGAGGTGGCATGTACACAAAGGTTGCTGTTCAGGTGTCCACCATTTCAACACTTTTCGAAAATTGAAAAATGTTTGTCCCAACGTCCGATTCTTGATGCGCACAAATGGTGCCCGTACTTTGTGAAACGGAGGGACATTGATGGAATGATGAAAAGTGAAATTCAGAAGCCACTGTTTTATCGCATCGTTCATGTCGTCAGATAGAACTTGAAGTCGCATAGGCACATTGGGTGGCGGAGATTCCGTTCCCTTAAATCTGAGGATCAAACGAAGTTGTGATTGACAGCGTGTACGAAAAGGTTCTCCCAATTGATGGGAAAGTCTCCAAAGCAAGAAAAGATATTGTATGTCTGTTTGTGATGAACGCAGTAATTTGGAAACATGAAACTTTTCGATGGTGTCAGAGCCT